ATCGAACAGCTGCAGACACAAGGGGCAGGACAATTCCTGGTGCAGGAGGCCGGGTGCAGCTGACATGGCGGGCCTGGATGGAGGAGGAGAGGAGTCAGTCAGGGAGGCCCAATGGTGCCACCCCAGCCCCGACCTCTTAAGCCCTCACATCTCATAGTAAATGGGACTCTGCTTTTGGCCAAGGCAGAAGGGAAATTCAGACTCAGGCCCAGTGGCAGCCCTCAACTGCAATTCTTAGTCCCACTCCCCCAGTATGCCCTATCTGACCCTTGTCAACTTCGGTCCCTAAACACAAGCTCGGATTCTAAAAGCAGTCTCACTTGCTTTGTTTCCCCCTGTTTTAACCCCAGACTTCACCCTCAGACCCAGGCCTTGGCCTCAGCCCCAGGCCCTGGCCTCAGCCCCAGGCCCAAATTCCCTCTCCACCCACCTCTCCAGGATCCCCAACCCACCCTCTCCCAAAGCTCCAGGCCCATAGGACTCACAAGTCTGATTGGAGATCTTAGGCTGAAAGAGACTTCCAGGAGGACCAGTCAGGGACAGGCCTAACACTAGAGGGGTCAGAGCTGTGTCCAAGACACACACCAGGCAAGCAGCAAGCTCAGAGGAAAGACAGGGGACTCAGAGGCAGCTGGCAGTGGACACCACATATGATGGGCACACAGTGAGCAGTGGACAGACCCTCCCAGGCTGAGCCATGCCTCAGGGCTATATTTAGCAACCCTACCTGTCCCCTCCCATCACTTCTGGAAACTGTTCTAAAATCAAGAAGTCAGCAGGCAGGTATCACATATCAGGGCCACCTGTCCTGGCCCTTCCACTGTCCTCCCCCTACCCAGCCTGGAGCAAGAGCTCAGAGCCAGCAGGGACACAGGGCCTCTCACAGCACAGAAAAGACAGAAAATTGGGAGAGGGACAGTCTTACCTTTCTCCTCCACCTCCACCTCCACACTCTCAGACTTCCTCTTTGTCTGTGGCCATACACACATATAAAAGCAAACAAGTGTCTCTTTAATTCAAGCATATGCTGGGGCCGCACCACCACACAGTGTGACTGCACAAGGGGGCGACCCTGAAAACAAGCAAGGGGAGGTGTTTAAAGTGTATAAAGGAATTTCACTGGGTGTTTTGTCAGGGGCGGGGGAGGGATGTGGAGGTGTGGACTGTCATTAGCTGAGCTGTTGTCCAGGAGACCTTAGCGCTATCTGATATACCAGAAGTACTATAGGGTGGGTTTACAGTTAGGGACTTTCTAGAAGAGGGTTGGTTGTTCACTTTTGATAAGCTGGCTCCGCTTGGGCTAACTGACCTTGCGGAGGGAGAATGTCTGTCGCCTTCTGATAGTCTGGCTCCACCTGGGCTGTTCGACTTGCCCAGAGGGAGTGTCATTGGGTGGGAGCTCTAAAATGGAGTTACATAGGTCTATTCATTCACTTTCTAACTTGTCACCCACTCAGTCCCCAAGTTTATCAAAGTCACACTGACAGCATTATCCCAACCCTCAGGAAGGCAGGATCTCACCCCACTCTGAAAAGTTTTCTTCCAGATCTTCAAAGAGGGTCTTTTCCATGTTGGTCTTTCCAGTGCCCAGCACAAGCCCTGGGACAAAATAGGCCTCCCTAAATGCTTGGAGAATGAATAATTGAGAATTGAATAAAACAATGAACTCGATTGTAAGAGGGCCTTTACCTGCAAATGCAATCAGAGAATCCTGAAAAAAAAAAAAGAATGAGGCTTGGCGCCTACGGCTCAAGCAGCTAAGCCCCCAGCCACATAACACCTGAGCTGACAGGTTCAAATCCAGCCTGGGCCCAACAAACAACAATGATGACTGCAACCCAACAATAGCCAGGCATTGTGGCAGGTGGCTATAGTCCTAGCTACTTGGGAGGCAGAGACAGGAGAATGGCTTAAGCTCAGAAGGTGGAGGTTGCTGTGAGCTGTGATGCCATTGCACTCTACCCAGGGTGACAGCTTGAGGCTCTGTCTCAAAAAACAACCAAACAAAGAAAAAAAACCGGCTCAGCACCTGTGGCTCAAGTGGCTAAG